TTAAGTTAATTACACAGAATAAGGAATAAATTTATCATATCAACGATACAATATCAAAGAATAGGGCGTACATAAGCATGACAAACCCAATGCATGTGTAAAAATGTACAATACATTCAAGGTGATATACATCAGGCCCACTTTGGCCGCATTAGAGGAACTGTCAGCTCATGTAAAGGGGGATAATTGAGGAAGAAAAACATTAAATAGGATTGACCAATAAATATTAGATCGACCCGTAGTTAAAATATGGTCAGTTAACCNTAGATCGACCCGTAGTTAAAATATGGTCAGTTAACCAAATAGAATAGAATAAAAATAAACTTGTAAAATTTGTACACTGTGCGAATATACAAACAAAATAATACCACATTACATATTAGGTACGATGTCCAACTTTTGAGTTGATACAGTAATGTTGTTGGTGCTACAGCTATAGCAAAGCTAATTAATATGAATTTTACTCCATTTATGATTTGACATTCGCCATAATGAAAAAATTAAAGCTTTAACAGCAACCGTAAAAGACTAAGATTGACAATTCTTTTAAACATCATAAAACGTGATTTTTTAATTTCCCAAGCCGGTTTGTTATCACATGATAGAGGGTAGTGGACAGTGTAATCTTAGTATTAGTTGTCCGTTGACAGACGTTTATTAGATGTGGTATTATTTAGGATAAGGAATCACAGGTAGTAAAACAATTTACTTTTCTTTATACACTTTATATCACTTTTTATACAGAATTATGTTCTTTATATGATACGAAACATTTGTGCTTCCGTTGGGTCTTGATAAATCTGATCTCCATTCATAACTAACATTAAATAAGTTAATTAAATGTATGCTGCCATTTGAAAAAGTATACCTTATAATGTATGTTAATCCCTTAAGAGATTAAAATAAAAAATAATATATGATTAAAAAATTAATAAAAACGTATACCTCATTGCGATAAAAAAAACTCAATTTTATTTTTCTATTAATTAAGTGGTTCATAATAAATGAATCGCGTTATTTACAGGATGATTTCTTAGTTACGCCTCATGNCTTATAAAATATAATTACTTTTTCCAAATTTTGATGTTTTATTGGTTTTGATCAAGTCTCCTGAAAACATTAGATTATAATGTGCAATGAAAAAGTTAATAAAACATTTTGAAGATAAAAATTTAGAAAATTTTAAGTAAATACATTTGGTTTTCCTATATTGATTGATAATAAGAAGTGGACTACACTTCATTTTCACTAAAAAAAAGATTTATAGTAAAAATTCATTAAATTTATTTTATATTCATAACATTAAAATAACTGACAACTATATGTTTTTGCACAGTCCTTAAAAGATAATCTCTATAAACCTCTTTCATTTTCAAGCATCATTAAAGCTGAAACCTTTACTATCCTTGAAACTATAAAATCCATTTTCTTTATCAATCAAAACAAAATTTCATCCTAAGTGATTTAATGCATACAGTAATGTCATTTGCAAATATTCTCACCAAAAATTATCTTTCTCGTATCATTCAAAACATAATACTAAAAAAAAGAACCTTTAAACTCATATGTTACATTTAGATTTACTAGGTAATGAACTAGCTGTTAAACTTGTAGCAACAGCAGCAGAGTCATTTGACATAGAAATATACTATCGTATAACATACGAAGATGACACTCGAGCCCTCAAAATAATGTAGCTCACCCTTGTTTAAACGAATAGAAAAACAAAAAAATAACAAATTGCTACGAATTTAAATATTTACTCAAAAAAGGTCGGAACCAAACTGAATAGACACGAAGAGACCATAATATTACAAAAATACGCATTGACCACACTAGACTGATGCACTTAATGTACAATGAACCCGAAAACATTTGCAAAACATGCCAATGTAAACTCTCCATTAATCATATTTTTCTTTATTGTCCTATTTACCTACAAGACAAATCAAAACCAAATTATAAACTTCCTCAACTGTGCCGGTGCTAGATTTTGCGGGACCCAACTCATAAACGTTTTACATATTTTAGTAAAAGAAACCTTCTTTTGCTTTTCATATACACAACCTCTTATTTTTCCTCGTCTTTATTCCAACTACTTGGCGTTGACCACTCTTATCCTAAGCCTCCACTTGACACAACCTCCTACATCATCTACGACCATATCAAGCGTCCACATATCATATTCAATAACATACCTGTATCTGTTTTTTGGTCTTCTTCTTTCAACATTCATTTCCATAACTGTTCTTACAGCCTTTCATGTACACATATGAGTCATTTTAAAGCGCGTGGATTTAAGGTCAGTGCATTGGTGACTTAACTTTTACACTAGTCGTGTTTCTCAAGATCACAGAACTCGAGGCATTAGTTTAAATCATATTTAGAGACTAGTACACATAATAAAACTTTTTTTTCTTTTACTATATAATAACCAACAATAATTTAAATATATAGTAGGCTAAAGAGTTTTTGTTTGAATCAAATAAATAAATTAAAATTTGAATGTTTTATCAATTTTCAAGAATTTAATGATGTGTGTATATCATTAAAATAATTGAAAATATAAAAATTCATGACAGTAGTAAAATGTTTAAGCTCTGCATAGTTGTCTGAAATCAAAATTAAATTGTCCATACCTAAATTTTTAAAAATGTTCTTTTATTATACGATTCTCTTTATACGTAACCTGCTTAAATTAAATATACAGTATTAAGATTTCTTTAATATATCGAGTGATTTGAATGAAAAAAAACGGCAACATAGTGGGTCGCAACAGAATATGGACATGGCACAGTTGTGACAAGTATATATGATACCTGACAGTAATTAAAATCTGTATCATAAGAAACGCTTCTATGCAAATCTGTAAATAGTGTTTAATTTTAAGAAATTAGTGGATTATTCCAAAAGAAAAATTAAATGCTATTTCTTTCATTATTCCTAATTAGTAATACTATGGTTAATGAATATTATATATAATAAATATTTATTATAGCAATTAAATATAGTATGACAGTGATATTTAATAATTTATTATTGTAATTTTTACGGAGAAAATATAAAAATTATAAAGTAGTTATTTTTATGGCAAACGTGTATAAATTTGAAGGGCTTGATACAAAATTTTTTAGAAGATAATTTGTTGTTAATCATGAATAAATGATCTACAAGGAATTTTNAATATAAAAATTATAAAGTAGTTATTTTTATGGCAAACGTGTATAAAATTGAAGGGCTTGATACAAAATTTTTTAGAAGATAATTTGTTGTTAATCATGAATAAATGATCTACAAGGAATTTTAGTCAAAAATGTATTTTCTTGAACAGTTTTTTGTGCTGATTTCAAATCCGCAATAAGATTTTATAAATCTCCATTAATTTTTGATATTATTACTAATTAGTTAAAAACGAGTATTTACATATAAAAAAATAACCAACAAAATATAGGTTAAAATGAAATTCAATAACACAACAATAAACGAAACCCTAGGTGAAACTAGACACAGAATATTTCTGAATACCAGTATATTATACAGAGTGATTAAAATCTGATAAGACACTCATTTTCTCAAAAAATATTGAGAATTTTAAATTTTATTATAGAGAATAAATATCAAGTTCAAAAAACTCTACAATAAAATGCAGTCAAACCATTATTTTTTTCATCCCTTCAAGGATAAAAACTCTTATTTATAATTTTTTAAATAGGAACCCTTATTTTTAACTTTATAATATGATAGAAAAAAAACCCAGCACAGGGGGTCGCGGCACAGTGGTGACGTGGCATAGTTGATTCAAGTATAATGATATCTGACAGTGATTAAAATCACTATCAAAAATAAACGCTTCGATGCAAATCTTTAGATAGTGTTTAATTTTAAAAAAATTGGTGTTTTATTCCAAAAGCTACTNTCATTTTACTGTATTAAATACAGTAGTCATTATTTTTATTTGCTGATGCTTAAACCAAATTTTATTGATCAAGTTATGACAGGTAAATTAGCTATAAAAATTTACTACGCAATAAATGAGTGATAACAATAATAGATTCAAATCGGGTTTTTGGTGTATTATTAATTTCTAAGTCTATAGTTTTGTAAGACTAAAGGATCTAACAAAAATACCGGTTGCACTGCCATCGATATTATGAAACGTTATAAATGACAATATTTATTTTGGAGTCAAAATCTTTAAACAATTATAAAACGTGAACGCTTGTTCGGATAAAAAAAATTATAAGAACAAAATTGTTTGTAATTTTTTTTTCTATCATATAATGTAATCAAAAATAGTGGTTCCCATTTAAAAAAATTATAAATAAACATTTTTATCGCTGAAGGGATAAAAAAAAAAAATTTAACTTTATATTATTGTAGAGTTTTATAAACTTAATCATTTTTCTTTTTACAAAATTTTAAATTCTCAATAGTTTCTGAGAAAATAAGTGTCTTACCAGATTTCGATCACTCTGTAGAATATTATATAACTATACGGAATATATTTCTGAATAATTCAACTGTAGCATCTATTTAAACACCAATTATATTGTTACATAGAAATTATTATTAAGACTTTTATTTAAATGATTTATTACAATGAAAATACATAAAAATGGTGTTGGATTTTCATACCCCGAGCTTATATGACCGTTTTATATTCAACACAGCTATCGTACATTACATGAATAAGTAGCTAAAATAAACTATTTTAGCTAGTACAAAAGTACAAGTCGCTTTTCTTAACTTTGAGTAAGCAAAATAAGTTTAAATTTATATTTAATGTAAATTAAATTCATGTAACTTTTATAAAAATTGGTAGACTCATTACTATAGCAAACTATTGTAAGATATTTTAAAATAAAAAAAAAATATATAATTTCAACACAAAAATAAAATGTTTTCTAACTACGGTATCCATTTACATATAGAAGAGGTCGTCAGGATAAAAAATTTTTTTTATTTAAAGTACATAAAATAATTTTTAATTTAACATATATTTAAAGGATACAGTATTTCCGGTACATACTCAAAAATTAAGTTGAAAAATTTGCTATTTTGAATCATCCCCTGTAGGCAGGTAAAGGGTCAGATTTACTAACAAATGGTTTTACTATTTTTTCGAGTAAGTTTTAGTATATATTTACCTACATTTTTATGCACGGAAAGTTTATCAAATCTACCAAAATACTTATATAGAGTGTTTAGTAAGCAAGGAAACGGGTTTCTAGTGTTTTTATTGTTTATAATAGTTAACCTGTTTTTTTATTTACTGAACAGCCTGTATATTTTATTATTATATAAAAAAATAATTCTTTATTCTATAAATAAAATTGTTATTTTTGTATATTATTTGACCATTAACCATACTTTTTCGTTATATTCAGAAATGTAGTTTTTAATAAGACATTTAAAATTGTATAAAGTATACATATTTGTCTAAAATATCTAAAAGAATGTTCTTACAATTATTCATATATTTATTATTAATAACAATTTTATGGCGACTACAAAAACTTTCAGTGGAACACAATTTTTAGTAAATTAAAAATAATGTTTTACTTTAATTACCAATCTTCAAATCCCTTAAAATTGAAAATTGATAATACATTTAAAATCATCAGCAGTTTCGAAAACATATTGTCATATACCTACTATATAAAATATTTTATTTCTATTATTAAATTTAATATAAGCGACCAATTTAACATACAGCAAGGAAAATTTAAATATTTTATTGTTTTTAATCTGAATTTATAAATTAATACAATTTAATTTTGATTAATTTAAGCATAAAATATTTATAAGAAAATATCAAAGAAAAATATTTACCTGAAAGTTCAGTTGATAAAAAAATAACAAAGAGTAATAGAACAAAATTTTTTTTGAACATTTTGAAAGTAAAAAATAAAATGTTGTATGAAAATTATAATTTTTTTCAAAATAATATGTTTGGATTTGTACAAAATAAGGTAATTTAAAGTACGAATAAAAGCCAAAATTAAGTTCATTTTATAGGAATTTTTAATATTTCAGATGTTTTATTTAGGTTACTGATGATGACAGTATGATAACTAAAATAATTAATTNTTTTTTTTTTATTAATTTTGATGTCTGTTTTCACCGTGAAGACAAAATAAAGCACATTTTTTTTTTAATATTAAAGTGATAACAGAAAAATAAACTAGAAAAAGTGGTAACAGACAAAAAAAAACACATATCATAGTAAAACGAATACCTTCTCAGCTTCGCAACGAAGCTAAAAATTGTAAAAATGTCGAAAATTAGTGATTTTTAAATTTGTAATTTTTTTGGAGATTTCTCCATTACGGGAAACGAGAAAAAATTTTAAAATTTTTAAGGATAATATCTTCGACTAGATACGATTTGTGATCTTTTGACGTATCGCTGAAAGAAATCGATTTGTCGAGAGCTGAAAAAAAACACATCATTGTAAAATTAAAAACTTCTCAGCTTCGCATCGAACTAACATACATTTAAAAAAATGATGTATTGGACCTATTTATATGGTGTCATTACTCCTGATACTCATTTTAAATACGCTATTGACCAAATTATCGTATTCATATATTTTTTACAGTTTGTGTTTTCACTGTAATTTATATATGAATAACATACATGTTTCAAGCTTGTGTTTTTCTTGCTGTGCTTTAGCATCGCACAATGGTTCAAAACAAATATTTATCAAATCTACTATTTTTTTAAATTGATTTTTTTAATTTATTTTTTGTGCAATCATTTTTTGATACGCATTTCTGAAGCTAAATATAAAGTTACCAATAATAAATTTAGCCCCTTTGGCTCAATAATAATTAATAAAATAAACAATTTTTAATTAACAAAAAGAAATGGATAGAATAGGTAGGCCTGTAATAAACATAAAAACTGATAGAATGGAATAGAAACTGTGTAGGAAATGCTGGTGTTGAACAAAGAAAAATTATAGATATTTTTTTCTCAAGATATACCAATCCAGTTGGTATTAACCAACCTAATGGTTGTAAAACAAAAAAAAAATATTAGTATTAAATAGTATTTTATATTTTACGCATTAATAATTTGTAATCTAAGTTATTTACTTATTTTGTATTGAACAATTTTAAATGAAGTTATATATATATTGAATATATCATTAGTATATTTTAAATATGTTATATATTGATACAGCTGCATCAATTTTTATGTGATTCAAATTTCAATGTTGGTTATTATTTTTATATTTATTACCTCAATACCGCAAATTTGTTTTTTATTGTTCATAATTGTTTTTCTTTTTTTAATATTCATTAATTTCTTACTAAGCATGTTATTAATACTTTATTTTTATAATAAACATATTTATACATGTAATAAATACTTTTATTATTACTCACTTGAACCAATAACCTGATATAGTTCTCAAAACAATATTAATTTGTCGAATATTAAATTGGATTGTTGAAAAATGGAAAAAATTAAATGTTTTAATATGAAATATTGTTTCATATATGATTTAATTAAAACATCAACCATACAAAAACATTATTGTATTATTGAATTTTATATTTTCTTCAATTTCTAAGATTTAGTAAAATCACTAAGATTATGAATATTTTTTCATAATTATTTAATATTTTTTCTTAATGATAAGTGTACCTGTTGCAGTCGGTATCATAATGTTAATTTTTATTATTATCCTGTAGCGGTATAATCAATTTATTATTAATTTATTTTATTTTAGTACATCACTATAAGCTTTTAAGCAATTTGTAAGAATTAGTGAATAAAGGATAAAGGTTATGTCATTTATAGCAATTATTTATTTTATTGATAGCATCTCTAAACCGATATTTTAGATACTTCATATATTGAATATTAAAAACAACCCAACACAGTGGGAATGTGACATAGTTGGCACTAGTATAGATGATATACAGGGTGTTCAGTAAGTCAGGAAACGGGTTTCTATTGTTCTCATTGTTACAAACAATGAGAACAATAGAAACCCGTTTCCTGACTTACTGAACACCCTGTATATCATCTATACTAGTGCCAACTATGTCACATTCCCACTGTGTTGGGTTGTTTTTAATATTCAATATATGAAGTATCTAAAATATCGGTTTAGAGATGCTATCAATAAAATAAATAATTGCTATAAATGACATAACCTTTATCCTTTATTCACTAATTCTTACAAATTGCTTAAAAGCTTATAGTGATGTACTAAAATAAAATAAATTAATAATAAATTGATTATACCGCTACAGGATAATAATAAAAATTAACATTATGATACCGACTGCAACAGGTACACTTATCATTAAGAAAAAATATTAAATAATTATGAAAAAATATTCATAATCTTAGTGATTTTACTAAATCTTAGAAATTGAAGAAAATATAAAATTCAATAATACAATAATGTTTTTGTATGGTTGATGTTTTAATTAAATCATATATGAAACAATATTTCATATTAAAACATTTAATTTTTTCCATTTTTCAACAATCCAATTTAATATTCGACAAATTAATATTGTTTTGAGAACTATATCAGGTTATTGGTTCAAGTGAGTAATAATAAAAGTATTTATTACATGTATAAATATGTTTATTATAAAAATAAAGTATTAATAACATGCTTAGTAAGAAATTAATGAATATTAAAAAAAGAAAAACAATTATGAACAATAAAAAACAAATTTGCGGTATTGAGGTAATAAATATAAAAATAATAACCAACATTGAAATTTGAATCACATAAAAATTGATGCAGCTGTATCAATATATAACATATTTAAAATATACTAATGATATATTCAATATATATATAACTTCATTTAAAATTGTTCAATACAAAATAAGTAAATAACTTAGATTACAAATTATTAATGCGTAAAATATAAAATACTATTTAATACTAATATTTTTTTTTTGTTTTACAACCATTAGGTTGGTTAATACCAACTGGATTGGTATATCTTGAGAAAAAAATATCTATAATTTTTCTTTGTTCAACACCAGCATTTCCTACACAGTTTCTATTCCATTCTATCAGTTTTTATGTTTATTACAGGCCTACCTATTCTATCCATTTCTTTTTGTTAATTAAAAATTGTTTATTTTATTAATTATTATTGAGCCAAAGGGGCTAAATTTATTATTGGTAACTTTATATTTAGCTTCAGAAATGCGTATCAAAAAATGATTGCACAAAAAATAAATTAAAAAAATCAATTTAAAAAAATAGTAGATTTGATAAATATTTGTTTTGAACCATTGTGCGATGCTAAAGCACAGCAAGAAAAACACAAGCTTGAAACATGTATGTTATTCATATATAAATTACAGTGAAAACACAAACTGTAAAAAATATATGAATACGATAATTTGGTCAATAGCGTATTTAAAATGAGTATCAGGAGTAATGACACCATATAAATAGGTCCAATACATCATTTTTTTAAATGTATGTTAGTTCGATGCGAAGCTGAGAAGTTTTTAATTTTACAATGATGTGTTTTTTTTCAGCTCTCGACAAATCGATTTCTTTCAGCGATACGTCAAAAGATCACAAATCGTATCTAGTCGAAGATATTATCCTTAAAAATTTTAAAATTTTTTCTCGTTTCCCGTAATGGAGAAATCTCCAAAAAAATTACAAATTTAAAAATCACTAATTTTCGACATTTTTACAATTTTTAGCTTCGTT